CCTCTTTCATCGGTGGTCGCCGTTGCATCGTTGGTCGCTCGTCGTTTGTCGCGGGTTACTCGCGATCCGCGGAGACGCACCGTCGATCGCGATTAAATCACAGTTCCACGATCGTTTCGACTACGATATTCGGCGTACGAACGCGCGCGTAGTTCGTCACGGTCGCGACACGATCGTAGTCAATGTCGAGGAACGGTACAACGCAACGGCTCGTAAACGCATCGGCGAACGAGGCTACGGTCGTCTACGAAGCGTCGTTGGTCGGCGCGCGCGCGCACTGTTGACCCAGTTGACGAACATTGACACGCTCGATTCGTCCTGCGAGGAGTTGTACGCGTAACGTTCGCGCCTCGGCGCACTCGCTGTTTCCTCGGTTCCCGGACGACGCGGAACTGGACAGCCCGACGGAAGCTGTCGTCGTTTCAGTTTCCGGACTTGGATGACTTTTGCAACACCGTGTCGCGTTGGGCCGACCTTCGAATCTTGGTCGTCGCGGATCGATCGAGCGCTTGCCAGAAATTTGTGTTCGCGAATGCGTTCAGCGTATCTTCCTATCGCATCGACGACGACAGGCGATCCGTCTCGACCGGTAGAAAACGTGAACGTAAACGCGACGAAAGTTCCGAGAGGCGATCGGTCGTTGATCGTCGATCGTTGAACGACCAACGATTCCGACCCGTTTGTACGCGATACGCCGACAGTGAAAGTCGGTGGCTCGGAACGCGAAGCGATTTTGCTTAATCGTAAGAGGAGAACGGTTCGCGACTCGTTTCCGCGGCTGCGTTATCGTCGACGCGGCGAGACGAGGCGAGGCTTCTCAATTTCTTCGATTTTCTTGTCACATTTTATAGCGAGAATTAGGTTAGAATCGGTTAGAGCGCTGGGCGCGCCGGGCTATCGCCGATCGTCCATCGTACGCGTAGAATAGTAAATCCTTCCGCGCGTCGGATCGATCCACTCGTACGAGTGGAGAAACGCGTTCCACTCTATTTTGGATCGAAACGGGCCCGAGCCTCGTTTCGCAGGGCTGAGAGAAGAAGAACGTTCCGAGAGAAAATCGTTACCTTTGCTCGACGACGAGCGAAAGGACGGTAAGCGCGGGAAAGAAAAGCCAGGAGCACCCGCTACCTTTCACCGTTGACCTCCGCAACATCCGCGAGCAAGGAGATCGTTCGAAATGCCAGCGCGTCGTTGCGCGTTCGTTCGCTTTCGACGACGGGGCGTCGCGGTCTCGAAGCGAGTCGCTCCGATCCACCTATCGGAATATTTGCGGAACAACTCGCGCGACGAACACCGATGTGTCTCGAATATATTTGTTGTCCTCGCATGTTTCAGCGATATCCATGGCGATCGGAGTCTGCGTTTATCCGCTCGGCTGGGATTCGCCGATAATACGAGCCGTCTGCGGCGCAGCCGCGTCCAGGTAACGAACGATCGAATTCGATTCAGCTCCGCTTCGCGGAAAGTTCGTTCGCGAATCCGAATATACGTTAGCGGAAATCTTTCGATTCGTGCCACGAAAAGAACCGAGGGAGGGGGAACGCTGTTCGGATGCCGTCCGTTCGAACGGACGCGGACTCGACGCGTTTGTCGGACGTTCGTTCGGCGGATACGATCCAATCGTTAACGTTTGTTCGGCAGATACAATCCAGGGGCTTGCGCCGTTAGATGGGCGATACCGTTGGCCGCGATCGCGGCACTGGACGCCGCTACCTTGGCAGCGCTCGCTTTCATTTTGGCGTCGAGGCACGTCAGGTTGCAGCCCGAGCCCTTCAACAACGGCTCCCTCTACAAAGGTGGAGTATCTCGCGCGGCTTCGCGCCGGTACCGACGCCTCCTTCGCGCTTTTCACGATTCGTTCGATCTTTTCGCAGGCGAGGTGAATCCGGGATACGTGAACGAGGCGCAGAGCGTCGCAGGATCCCGGAAGTCGTTGTCGTTGAGACCGGTGCTGCTGGTAGCGCCGCCGGAACAGGACCGCTACAGCGAGCTGTCCAGAGCGAAATCCCATTCTCATCACAGCCTCTACACCCCCGCGCCCTCCCATCCGGCGCACACGATGTCAACGAACACCTTGAACCATTCCCAACACAATTTCCAATTGTAGGATTTAATTACCGACGAGAGAACACGACGTTACCCCCGCCGCTGCGATCGAACGACCTTTCGAGCGGCTCGCCGACCGTCGTCCACGGTCGCGGATTTATTTTCCACCCGCGAGACGCTTTCAAGGTGCACGCTTCTCTATGGGATCCGTTAGCGATCGCTCTCTAACTTTGGCGCACCGTTCGCACCGTTCGCACCGATCGCATCGATCGCACCGATCGCGGCACGGATACTCTCCGAACGACGACGGAATTTCTAACGATGTCGAGAGACTACGACGAAGCCGAACAGATTTTTAACGCGCCACGGTTCGCGCGAACTTGGCGCGTTCTCGGCGTTTCCGCGGTCACCGTTATTCCGCTGTAATAACAACGACGAAGAAACGTAAACGCGAACCCTCGCGCACCGTGTACTCGGGTAAAGACTAAATACGTGCTACGCGTACAGCGACTACGGTAAACCGGATAACCGGATAGTTCGCGATGCGACAACTTTGATACTCCGGGTCGGAGCGGGCCCGAGCACTGCCGTCCAAGGAATATAACTCGTGGAAAAAAACAATCGCGACTTGCAATAATTGTACATATACCACTATACAGCACTTGCACGTAATATTCGTCGAACGCGCGAGAGACCCTGGTTCGCGCGTTGTATATAAGGGTTGCCGTAATCGGCGTTTTCTACTTTCTAATCGTAAGGATCGTGCCCCTTCGAGAAGAAATAAGACGTTATTTCTCTGTAAAAATGTTGGCAAATGTAAAACTCGCAAAGTTTCGCAGTCCTCTACTATGCTATACCATACTACAATATACAATACTATACTATACTGTACCATACAAATAATAAGATAATTCGTTGTTCGCTCTTTCTCGATAGCGGCTCGAAAATAGTCGCGCGCGCGTCCATCACCCTGACGCGAACTAATATAGGTCGTAGGTTCTCTCTCGTTTCTCTTCTCTGTACTGTACTTTTTTTACGTCGATCATATAAATTAAGAGATCGTTAGCCAGCGAACAGAGAAAGACGACGCGGGCGAAGCGAAGGCGACTCTCTGCTTCCCCCCTCGGATTCGAACGTTCTCCGTAAAAAGAATAGAAAATAAATCCGTTGCCGGTCGAACGATCGACGAATGGATCGAAACGAAGGGATCGGCCGCGCGCAAGCCCGCGACCAAAGTGTTTTGCCAGCGGTCGCTATGACTACGGCCACGACGAAGACGAACGCGTCCACGAGCTGCGAGCTACGATCGCCTCGGTAACACGGTAGTGCAAAATGAACGACAAGGAGGACAGCGCCTGGGTGTTCGACTCGTTGATCGGATTCCTTCAGGGGCCGATCTGGTCGGCGCCTCTGATCACTTTCATCGAGGAGAAGTCTCTCGGTAAGCGACGGTCGCCGTCCACCTCGACGATCAGAATCACCGACGGAAAGCTGTCGTCGTTTCGTGTTTCGCGTCTCGCGTCTCGCGTCTCGCGTCTCGCGTCTCGCGTCTCGCGTCTGGGAACGAGCGCCGATCGAACGATCGGGAGCCGAGATTTCCCACCGTCGCACCGATCTTTGCCACGGCGCGGCGACCGTAATTTGATCGTCGATCGAAATCGCGCGATCGAGAAATATCGCGCAGAATTTTACCACGCGAACCGAGGGTCGGGCGGAAACAACGATTTCTCGCCGATGCTCGTTCCGTCTTTTGGAACGATCGAGATCGGAAAAATGCTTCTTCTTCTTCGTTGTCGCGTTCGCGCCGATAGTTTCTGATTTAAGAGTCGCGTCTCATTCGATCGCAACTTCCCGTAGTGTTCGAAGCGGACGTGGAGGAGAGCGACGAATACCGGAGGAACTATCAGGAGTACAAGAACCTGGTGGATCTGCTCTTGGGTTGTTTCATGGAGGACATAGGAATCACTCCGGAACAGTTCGAAAACGCTTGCACGGTGAACAAGTACACCAAGATGCCGATACAATTCCAGCAGGTACGGTCCGTCGTTTCGATCGACCGCGACCGAATTCGGACGATGCGATAACGCGAGATACGCGCGCGTTTTTCTATTCGAAAAACGGACGATCGATCCGTTCGGTATTTCTTTGGACGCGCGTATCTCGCGGAACGAGTTTCGAGAACTCGATTCCAACTTCCGCTTTATAAATCGATATCGTAGATAAACGAACGAATAAATAAATTCCAAGAAACGCGAACTACGATTTCTTCGCTGGCGCGTTTCAGAACTTGTTCGAGCAAATATGGGCGGCGAACGAGTACGAGATATTCAAACGGATGATGACGCAGAAGAACTTGGAGCTGCAGCTGCAGGCGTTGAACATGATCGAGCAAAAGTACGGGCTCACGCCCGCGTCGTTCGTTTACGAAGCCGACGGATCGAGCGACGACACTTTGGTCATGGAGGAGATCATTCGGTGAGCTGGCACGCGAGACGTCGATGCGAATCTTCGAACTCGCGAAGGATCCGAGTTTACCTTTGTTCGCAGGAAGCACGCTCTGGAGGACGACCCGGAAGAAGATCGAGATCTGTCGTCGGAGACCTCGTCGTTGATCAAGGAGCACGAACGCCTCGCGGAGAAGTACAACAACGAGAGAGCTCTGTTGGAGGAAGCTCTGAAGGTTTCTCGAGAAGAACGCGACGAAAACGAAGAGAACGAGCAAAAGGGAGAAAAGGAGGAAGGAAAGAGTCCCGAAACGGATTCCTCGTCGCCCGCGATCGAAGAGGAAGAAGAAGAGGAAGGAGAGGAAGGAGAGGAAGGAGAGGAAGAACCGAAAACTCCTGAAAAAACGAGGGGAACCGCTCCGTCCGGTTCGGCGTTTCCGGATGAATCGAAATCCGAGAAACAAAAAGTAAATTCAATTTTGAAGCACGGTCCACGCGGTACGTACGGTCGAATTTCGGTAAATTTCTCGATCGGCGATCGTTGCAGGTCTCGGAGGAGGAGATCGGAAAGAGACAGGCCTACCTGAAGGCCCGAAGGGACAAGCTGGTGGCCCTGAAGAAGAAGGCCAGGAGCCACAGGCTGGAAATGAATTCGACGAGGCCCAGCTCTGCCCGCGCGGTAGCGCGGGCGACCATAAACGGGGAACAGGAATTGAGCCTGCCGGAACCCCTGGAACCGTCCGTCCTCCAGGTGCGAAAAGCGCTGGCTGCTCGGCTCCAGGCCGAAGTGGTCCGCGATCGGACGAAACAGTGATATCGCGAACCTTGAGAAAACACCTCGCGCGCGCGGATGGGACGACGCGTCGCCGAAGAAAAACCGAATATCGTTCGTAAATCGTTCGTAGAACTCGGACAGGATAAATCGTAGAGTCGATCTCGTAGATTCGATTCGGAAATACCGTCCTCGGGGTTCGAGGAGACCTCGAGACTCGCGCTTGTGCGGAAGAAACTTATGCGGAACAAGACGTTCCTCGTTTCCTGTCACAAATACCCGCGCCTTCGCGAACGTTCCGACCGATATTTTTTACAGCGAAACTTCGACGCGCGTTTCCATCGCGATCGTAGCACGCGATTCCAGCGGAACGAAATCGTCGTTTCGATCGATCTATACTTTAGGAAACACGTAGGCACGCGCGTGCGTAGAAACTCGAATACTTTAGAGATTTCTTCAAGAAAGTACATATAACCGTAAGACTTTTCTTCTGATTTTATTAAAATCTTGTGGAAATATTTCGATAAAAGTTGATCGAGCGTCGCAGGAGCGCCTGCGTAAGTTTCCGGCGTTGCGTCGGATCGAAGTAGAGTACAGGACAAAGTCCAACTTTATAATAAATATTTGCTATGCGAGAATAAAGGGAACGGTTGGCCTACCGTTCGAGCATGCTTCTGTCGCTGCGAAGTCTCATTCGATTCCCAACCTGTCCGCGAACTTCGAGCTCTCTCTCTCTCTTTCTCTCTCTCTCTCTCTCTCTCTCTCTCTCTCTCTCGGATTTGCAACTTCGAGAGACCGTGTTCCCGATCGGCCCTCGTTCCTTCTGTTCCTGAACGGTGAACATGGTCGAACGGTCGAACGATGGAAAACATGATATGCATCGAATAGTAAAAAGAAAACGCTTCGGAAAAGAGTCTCGGCGGTTTCGGACGCGCGTATCGAACAAAGTCTTTTGTACATGAAATTATCTAGCGGCGTGGATCGTACGAATCGCAACGACGGTGCTACGAAAAAATCCAACGACGATCTCTCCGCCGCGCCGCGTCGCGCCGGGGGCGTCTCTCGAGGTAAGTTACAAATCCGTTCGTTAACCAATTCGTCTAATTTTAGGTTTTTATTTAATTAAATATTCTCCGCACTTCTACAACACACTTTCTATCCCGTGTAACACGCACATTTATCATTCTCGCTCGCCTTAGCCGTTCGATTACCGTGGAACAAAATACGTATGTAATTGCAAATTCGCGGCGGAACGCAAGCACGGCCATTCGCGACGTCCAACGTCGTTTCATCGATCGTTTTATCGTGAAATTTTATTTTATCTTAAATCGCTGGCAATTTTTCGCTTCCTTTGCTTCACGAAACAACGGAAATCTAACGCACGATCGGACCGCGAACCTTCGCGCGGACGCAAACGTCTAAGAACTAATTTCTAGTTCAGAATTTTCTCTGTCGGAAGTTTCGTCACGGTCCAACGAAAACGAGAACGAGAACGAGAACGAGAACGGGAACGGGAACGGGAACGGGAACGGGAACGGGAACGGGAACGGGAACAGGAACGGGAACGAAAACGAAAACGAGAGTGAAAATGTTCTCAAAGGGTTCTACAGTTTTCGAAAACCAAAGATGCCGCGTAATCGCATCGTACGCACGTACATCGAATAATATCGTCGTTCGATCGAATATACCAATTGCCACGGGCGTGTAAACCGAAACGCGTGCTTCGCAACGGGACAAAGGCGATCGATCGTCGGAATCGCTGAACAGCGAGACGTTCGTGGCGCGCCGGATCTCGGTTATGAAATTCGAATCGCTTGCAGCCCGCCGCAAATCCTTCGTTCGATTCGTACGCATCGTAGCTCGATCGGCCACGCTTTACTGGAATAAAATGTAAAATATTTCCCACGTGCTCTCCATTCAACTATTATCGTACTACACACAGAACAGTTCATGTATCTTTTATTTTTGTTGCCCCTTTATGCTTGCCCATAATTCACACGTTTTACGAATAGCTTCTCATATAAAAAGGTGTGTTTTCGTCCGTGTATATATGTATACGTATGTATCTACGTATATGCGTATGTATGTATACATGTACATATATACACGTACACGTATATGTATGTGTCAGAGAAAAAGCGGTCTACTTTCTGTTATTTTCCTTTTTATATATACACGCATACATATATATATATATATATATATATATATATATATATATATATAT